TTTTAAACATATATGGGAAATTAAAAACAAAAACTAAATTACACTAAATATCATGAAAAATAAGGAAAACACTATCAGCCTCCAACAATAAATCCAAAAACTGTAAACTGTTTGGAGTAGAAAATTAGCTTTAATCACCTTCCCAGAACAACACTAATAACTAAATAAATGATTTTCTTAAAATGTAGATAGAATTTTTTTTCTTTTACTGTGTTATTTAAAAATCAAAAAAAGCGAATACCCTATAAAATACAATGCCAAATGCAAATTTATACACTATATACAAGGCAGATAAGGTAACATACTTTAGACAAAGCCAATACATTAAATTCAACAAGATAAACAACCCCAAGAAAAAAAAATAAACAAAAAATCTAAAAGTAAATAAACACATTAACTGAGAATCCATACATGAACACAAGTAAATGTAATAATAATAAACAATAAATAATTAAGTAATCAATAATAAATAATGAGTAAAATTTAACACTATAAAGTAGTTACAAGTAACGACATTCAGATCTACAATTGTTCCTATTCAATAGGTTCTAGAATACTTTGAAATATAACTGTTACCACCTACCCAATAACCATTAGGATAATACAAAAGACCTGACTACTCATAATGCACCATTGACCAAAATATATGAGCCAAAGCCCAAAACACATGGCCTAAAGACTTTGTTCAAGCAAGAAACTGTCACCACTTGATATTGACCTCAGTGTCCACTAATATTATATATATATATATATATATATATATATATAAAATCATACACACTTTAAGGTCAGTTAATTGTAGAAACAAACAATAGTGGACACAATTAACTGACCTTAAAGTGTGTGTGTGCACGCATGTACATATACAAGCGCACACACATGCACGCATACTTTATGGTCAGTTAATTGTAGAAGCAAACAATGGAAAACTGAAAAATATGAATAGAGTCAATACAACCCAGCCTATGACTTGGACATGCAAATAAAAAATTAAATACAAGCTTGGGCTAAAATTATTGACATGAAGCATCATACACAGTTTTTGTTGTATGTCCTACGCCTAATTCTCAAAGAAGAATTTGTTTTCATGAAACCCAAAGACCAAGCCAAAAATGACTATTTTTGAAGTCTTTAGCAGTTAAATGTAAAGAGTTAAAAAATAAAAATTCAAGTTATGCATTTACAAAAGCTTCTATAGGAAAACTAGTTTTCAACAGTATAACCAATACCCAATTTAAGTGACAAGATCTTTTGCACACATCTTATATTTACTTACTGAATTATAACTTACATAAAAAAAGAAAAAAAATTCAGTCATGTGTGATATCTTGCTTGCATAAAATGGCAACATAACATCACAGATTTATGAAATGGTCTGTAAAATTCGTATCTACAACTTAAAGACACTTCAAATGTTCAGATGAAGCATATTTTAGTTTTGTTAAACCAAAAAAATTATAATTTCATTTCAACAACAGTTAATTTTTTTTTCTTTGCATCATACTTATTCTGGATTTCATACAATGAAACAAAATTTTTAGGGGAAATTTTGAACTGACATTGAGGAATTTCTATAGCAAAATAAATAAAAAAAAAAACAGCTAACAATCTGATAGATTCTAATTCTTTGATATTAAATGAAAATTCTAACACAAGTTGCATCACAGGTTATGACTTTCTTTGATTGCAACTCCAGTGAGAATTATATCCCAACAAATGTATAAACTGTTTATGACAGAAACAGTAAACAGGTTAACTAATGTTAGCTATTACCAATTAGTGTTATAATTGTCCTATTAATAGACTAAATTAATTAAAAATATCTTTAAATTACTTAATTCTTCGGCTAATTTAGAGGAAAAAATTGACCTTAACAGGGGGAAAAAAAGTTTTAGTAGGGGAGGTAATTCGTGTTGGCTAAATTTCTTTTGCCGTGGCTATTATTTCTACCAGAAACTTTAATAGACAAAAAAATAAAATAAGTAAATCAGAGTCAGCTTGATCTAATAAAAATGCTTGATAATTATTTTGTCAATTCTTTTTTTAAAATAACAAAGAAATGGGTAGAATGTGGCAAATTCTGCTAAAATTAATAATTTCAAGTTTATTACATTTGCACAAACCCTCTTTTCCTTCCTCCAGATATGGGTTAAATAAGAGAGCAGACAGTGCTCTCTTAACAGTGGTTGGCAACACACGTAGCTGAATTCAAAAAACTATGTAGCCATTGCATCATGCATATTCTAGTTGCAGAAAGGGTTATTGAGTACAGTGAGGATTTGCAAACTATGATCTTGACTGAGGTCAACAAGCATATTTGCTTGCAAATACAAACCCAATATTCTCTCCCTAATCTAATAGCTTTTGCTACTTTTCATACAAGGATTATAAAATATATTCCCTACTGCCAGCCAGCCGTTCAGATTTTTTTAGAGCATACATTAAGACTAAACACAAAAGAACATTGGAGAAAAGGATAAGAAAACAAGACCAATTAAGAAACAAAATTAATTATAGGATGCACTTCAAGTGATCTAAATTAGTTCCCAGAGACATCGTTCCCTGTATTTAATGCTTTTCAAAATTAAAGTTATTCACAGCCAAGCTCCTTTTGAACTGATTTGATGAAGGCAAAGAAAAAGAGCTTGTACTTTTTTATTTTTTCTTTACAAAATAAAAACTAATAAAACAAGTTATTTACAAGAATCTGAAAATAGACAGAACTGTCTGAAAAGTCTGATTATAGAATATTTTTGAGAAGCCAAGTCTTTTGTAAAGGGAAGATGACTATAGTCAAGACTACTGAGTCGTCGTGAACTCCACAATCCTTTCCTTAGATGCATAGCATGTGCTTCACCAACAGTTTTGAATTTAGAGTTGTCTATCTCTTAAGAATGGGTGCCAGCAAAGGCTGAAAACAAACGATAGTTGAAGGAAGAAAAGGTGGAGTCATACATTTCCCAGAAGTATTTGTACATAAATGAATATAATGAACCTAACTGGAATTCAAACTTGGTTTTTTGATTTTCTCATTACAAGTGGCCATGTATAACTCCTTTTAAATATTAATGTGGAAATAAATTCAGAATTAACTTGACATTAACAAAATATTTTATAGAAATTTCATTTTTTTTTATTTCTATCAATGACATTGCATCATGAAATGGCAAATGTGTGACACAAATGCATAAAAGATTAGCTAATCTATTTTGTTTTTTTTTTGGGGGGGGTCAACAGCCTTCCAGAGAAATGCAATACAAAGAACTACATTTATACTACTCTTTCAGACCTTTTTTTTTTTTTTAAATCCAGACCAGGATCAAGTTTACCTCTCTTTATCCTATGCAGAACTTACAGGTAGAATTGGTTCAACTAAAAACTACTCTATTCATAGCTATTTTCTTAATGGCTGAAGTATTAATTTATATTAATTCATAATCAAAGTTTCAGATCTAACAGGAAAAGAAAATTTAAAAATTACAAATGATTATCACATGATTTTATAAATGTTTCGAATGTACTCATTTCAATAAAAGACCAGGTGATTTTTTTAAAAAGTTTGTTTTTCTCTCTAATTTTAATAGCTTTAAAGTTAGATTGAAAGAGCAACTAAAGTGAAGGTTTCAAACTCGTACAGAATTTATGCTTGAAGCATGAGTGATCACAGGTGAAAAATAAACCAGATTTTATTTTTTTAAATTAAAAAATTTTAATTGTAAAATGTATGATAGAAGCAAATGACAACCCTAGAAACAGCTCTAGATTGAACAAACCTGAATCTACAAACCCTAATGTACCAAAGTCACTTAAATATAAGTACACAAATATACAATCAAAATTGTATATTATTGTATACTTTCAAATAAGTGGAGTTTTAGTTTTATGTACCCCCCTCCCTGCAACCCCGACCAATAGGCATTTGTATGAAAGAGCAAAGAAAGATGTTCATCCCAAGGTTAAAACATCTTGTCAGTGTTGCTCCCCGAAATGTTAACCACTTCCATACACTGAAATACTGGCAGAGTGGTTTGCAAAAACTGCTGTAGAGATGAATGATGGAGACTGGTACGGAATGATCTGGAGAGAGGATTCAGTTTACACTTTCCAAGAAGGAAATTAGCAAAACAATAAATAAATGAATGAATAAAATCAAGTAACACAGATCAGGATTAAGAGTATTTTATTTCTCTGTTACAAGATTGTCAAGTAGTAGAAGAAATAAAAGAAAATTAAAAACTATTCATCAGTCCATGGCAAAGAAAATATTTTCAAATATTGCAGATTTATTAGCTTTTCCTTTAAGTTTTTTTTTTCTTTTTTAAAGATCTTTGTTTTTTTTTTGTTTTTTTTAAGATATATTTTTCATGTTTCTCTCTCTCTCCTTTGCTTCACTTGCTAGAAGTGCAGCTAGCAAGTTTAAGACTTCTGATTGACTTTGAGCCCTCAAGAAAATTAAAATCAATTTCAATATAAAAGCGGACAGTGAAAACGTTGAACAAAAACATTAAAGCACAGTTTTAAAGCTTTAAACAGATTTGTTTATATTCTTGTCTTATATTGCAAACATACCTTGTTTTAAAAATTATTAACACTATGCTTTTGCAATGGTGTATTATGCTGATTGCCTGGAAGGGATTTAATTTTTCCTATGGCTCAAGAAAAACTTGCTTAAAATGATGAACAAAACAACTTTCACTTTTGGAATTTTACCAACTGAGAGAGAGAGAAAAAAAAACTTTCAGCATTCTTTAAGAGGAATTTTTAAAGCATCTTCATGTGAAAAATGGTATATTTGCAATATGAGTCAAGTTAAAAAAAAAAGGTTACTTTCTCTTTTCAAGACAAGAAAGAAAATAATTTGCTTTAAAATGTAGTAAATGAAGTACCAACCTTCACTTGTGTTATTAACTGCAAGACACATTCAAGCAGCAAGAATCAGAACAGAATTTGGAAATATGAAAACTCAACAAAACAAAAAAAGAAAATTAAAACGTACTTACCATTATTTGATAATCTTCATGTCCTTCTAATGCTTCATTAACAACAGCCTTTATTGAACTCATTGGAATTTTGTCTGTCCGTTCTGTAAAATAGATTGCTAGACAAAGGTCACTCAAACGGAAAACAAGCAAAAACTTTGGTCATGCCAATTTTCAACTTCTTTAAAAACACAAAATAATATCTAATTTTCCTATTAAAAAACTTTGTTGATGAAACCAGAAGGTGAGAGAAGATATAATAATTAACAGTACAAAACAGAATTGGTTTGAATTTCATTTGAGGCCATTTAGTTCCTTTAAGAAAGGCATGAATTTATAGCTTGCTGCACTGCCCCATTTCCAGATAAGTAAAAAAAAGAAAAAAAAAAGAATTTTCACCAGTATCCCATGATGACTGATCAAGAAAAAAGTAAATGAATGTGTGTGCATTTGAACTAATCATTTACTGCTAACTATATTAGAGAACTGTTACCCACCCCAATTATGAACCAGTATGATATTTAAAAGATCAAGACAAAGATTTCTTCATTATCTGATCCTTCTAGTTTGATTATAATCCTTAGAGAACTGACAGTAGGAAGGATATCCAGTTGCAAAACAGGTCTTAGAAAAAAATGATTAAAATTAACACATTTCAGTATACTTATCTAGGCATGATTTGATCACAATTATGAATCAGTGGCTACTTTTAAATAAATCAAGCAACATATAGCTCCATTATAAAATGAGTACTGATCCATTGTATTATATTCAAATCCAGGTAAGATTTGACTGACTTTCTACTGTTGAAAGTAAAGAGATTGAGTGGGTTGATGTCAACCAATTCTGCTGATAGAATGCCTCTATAATAATTTACCAACCTATCACAATTCCTTTCACACAGTTCAATAGAAATATCATAAGACTACTATCACATTTTATCATTCAATATTATGTAATAAAACTAAAGTAATGATATCGTTCAGTGATTGTCTTTTAAGCACAGACTTATGAAATTTTTCATAAACGAAGGAAGAGAGTAACATCAGCTCAAAATCAATACAGTAGAAAAAGATGACAACCTAAGGGTAACCAACATAAGCAAGGGAGGTAACCAGTATTTTTTATTTATACAATTTTCTTTTCTTTTTCTTTTTTACCTCCCTTGAATATCTCAAAAAGTGAGTTGGTTAATGTATTTTGAAGTTATACATTCATTTTGATGATGAATTCAGATCAAAAAACGAACTTGCAGTTTGCAGCATTAGATGAACAACTTGAAGAACTCCAATAAAATGTCTTCACCATGACAATATCAATCAATAAGATAAAACGACAAAGTTATTTTTAACTTAATAAATATGAAAAAAATTAAAAGAGAAATGAAACTGTCTAATATTAAATAGGTTAAAGCTATGATAGGTTTTAAATTATTTCACATAAATGTAGAGAAGGAGCAGCCTCTGCTTAAACAAGAAAAATATTCTAAAAATATTGCCTCCAGCTTCTATTCTGAAATATATATATATATATATATTTTTATTTTTTATTAAATGAATTTTGCATTTTAACAAGAGACTTTTTAGTAAGCTATTAAATGACTAAATAAAATCATAAATTAATATACTTCTCCAGCCTCAGAGTTTTTGAGAATTATGACAAAAGAAAAACTCATAAATAAACTGAAAATTACAGCAGCTGAAGAGCAACCCACCTTTTGTTCCGATCCATAATTGGTCAAGTTCTAATTTAAATGTAAGTCGTACTTTGCCACCAGACTTATTGTACATTCCCGAGAGCGGATGTGATGGCAAGGGAAATTTTTTACCTTGGAATCCAGGCATAACATCATCAGGCTTACCATATTTTTCCAACACTTTTTTGTGTATCTGTAATAACAATTAAATTATTTATCACCGTGATAGTCTTAAGCTGTCTTTGGTTCCTTAGTAGAAACATCTTTATTATTAATTTTGCAATACAAATAAAAACGCACACACATATTACACAGATAAAGACAAGCTTATTCGCCATTAATGACAAGTACCCAATTAAAGAAAGCTTTTAGTTTACTACAACACTTTCAATGATTTCCCTCATTATACTTCTATACAAACAATTCTATTCAAAAGCTGAAGTAATGAAGTTGTTCAGTGATTGTCTTTTAAGCATGGATTTATGAAATTTTTTTCATAAACCAAGGAAGAGAGTAACATCAGCTCAAAATCATGAATAAAGTAGAAAACAATGGTAACAAGTCAGTCAGTTATGTATCATGTATGATACACGCTTAGGCGATCATGTATTTTTCAATACATGACTCCTGAGGCAGATTTTTTTCCCACAGTAGGTTGCCATTTCTTTCTGCAGTAGACCAGTTGCCATCAAAGGCTATAAAACCTGGTCTGTTCTGCTATTTATTTATTTGAGAAACGGAGGATTCATACCTTTCCCAAAGGTAATAGCACGTAAGTGAATGTACTGGATTTTTAAAGATTTTTTTTACTACCTCTTTTGCAAACTACAAAAAATTGAAGTCATATATATATACAAAAGAGAAAAATTTAACTTTAAGCATGTGTACTGAAATTTAAGGATTTTTATTTATTAATTTTATTTTTACTTTGAACCGTTTAAGAACCTCATCCAGAAGTTCAAAGTTGTTCTTGTGGAAATGTTCAATTTAGCTTCAATGCCTTTGTACATAAGATCCAAAGAAGAGAAAAGTATGGGAAACCCTCGATTAGTGCAGTTAATGTGTACATTAAAAGATACACACTAATCAAAAACACATTAATCAAATATAATAACTTATAATAAAAAAATTGATGTAATTTGTACCTCAAATTTTAGTCTTATTCACAAGATCATTTCCACTTACTAAGATATAGGGAGTTAGTTGAAGAAATAATCAGCTTCTAGACCAAGTTCTACAAATAGTTGGTCGCATCCATCCTCATCTAAAGGTGTGAGACTTGGACACTCTGGGTTGAGACAGGAAAAAGAATCCAGTCATTCATGAATAAATGCTTGAGAAAGCACCTCTGCATCTCCTACTGAGTGCATAAAACCAATGACTATGTACAGTGCAAAGTCAAAAGTCTTATGGGCCAACAGAAATCTTTCCTTACCACTATTAAGCATTGGAAGATGTCATGGTTTGGCCATGTCACACAGCATAACAGCCTTTGCAAGACCATCATGCAAAGAACTTTTGAAGGTAGACACAAACAATGATGGCAACGCAAGAACTGGTTAGACAACATCAAAGAGTGGACAGACATGACAATGCTGGAATTCCCAAAATTCACCGCCAACAGATCATCCTGGAAGAGGTTGTCTGTTTCTTTTGCCCTTAGGTACAAAATGATGATTGAAGTAGTCAATGGTGGGGAGGATGCTTATGATGAAATAAATATCTCTACCTTCACCCAACTATTATAGCAAATCGCTTTTGCTGGGAAAATACAAATTAAACAACTGCAGTTCTATATACTTTATTACTACATCTTGCAGCCCAACTTAAGATATTTTTGCTTAATGGAGATAAATAATTTGAATATCAAATTTGTTATTCATTACCAAATCTTTGTAACCTTTATATCTGATTGTCTAGCTAATGGCTTTTATAATTTAGTAATTCAAATAAAACAATTTACTGTGCTAAAACAGGTAACCACCTTGGTATTTAGATCACAACCTGAGAGTAATCAGAAACAAGCAATATCAATATTTTTAATAATACATAACAAATATCATATATTATACTGATATGGTATATATGAAGACAAACAATAAGCAAAAAATGCCTAAACCTGTCAACCTGCTTTAATTGCAACAATTTTACTGCCAGGTGCTAATCTCTCAAACACAGGAAAGAGCAAAGAAAAAAAGACTTGGCCCATGCACTTCCAGGTATACTTTACACAAAGAGTAAAGAGAAAAACCTTTAGGCAATTAACCTTTCTATGCTAAGTGTATAGTGTCTGACAGTATTGTCTGTAACTTTTCATGTTGTTAATGTAATGAAGATAACTACAGTTATCTCACCTTACAGGGTGCAATAGGTAAATTGTCACCATTTTATATTTTTAATTTTACACATGCACATTGTTTTGATTTTGTCAACTTCATAATATAATAATAGGGTCAGTTGGGCACCATCTGTGAGAAAAAGAGCACTATGATGCAATTAACTCTGCAAAAAATTTGTAAATGGCATGCTGTACTGCTTGGCATTCATGCCAGAAGCTCCAATATAAACATTTCAGAGTGCTTGGGTGTCAAATCTGAGGACAGTGTAGAGGATTTGGAAAAAGTTGGATGAGTCTAATGGTGATTATGAAGGTGTTTGGAGTGATCTCTAGTGATCGCGACATTATGCCTCCATTTTCCCACAGGGTCTCAGACTCAACTTGGAGCCCTACATCAAGTGCCTTGAGGAGGTAGTGTTGCCCTGGTTCAGGATGTGGCTACTAGAAGACCCCATGTCTGAAAACAGGACTCTGCACCATGTCACACAAGCAAGGAAATCAAGTCATGGCTGTCACATAATTTCTGCAACAGCAGCTGAAATGTTGTGAATATTGCATTAAAGATGAGGACAACAGTCCGAACAACATAAATAGTGTAAATGGGTAAAGTTTAATCATTTAAGGAAAGATCTAAGCACTCACATTTGGCTGGCTGGGTAATTGAATTTACATGTCAGTCCTTGTCAGGTTATTTGCTGTAGAATTTTATATAAAGCACCCAAGTCACTACTCACAGTAACAGTCAGCCAGGTGCCACAAGGTTTAGAGAGATATGAAAATATATGGAAGAAACAAAATGAAACCTGACAATAGACATTAAAAGCTTCATAAAAGGATTGCTTTGAACTGACAGACAGGAAAAAAAAAAAAAAAAAAAAATCAACATTTCTGCCAAAATGGATAATATTTGACATTTAAAAAGATGACCAGATTTTATCAACAATTCGTTGTAAATTTTGAAGTAACAACTCGTCAGGCAAGTGTCATAAAACAAAATGCAAGATCTGCAATTGTCAACCAAATACAGATTGCCTATTTACATACCGTATATGCTGGCATTTAAAGCTATCCCCAAATTTTCAAGTTACAATGTAGATTTCGGGCTATATTTACCAGACAAGACCCCCGCTCCACCAATCATATTTTAAAATGTATTGAATTTATTAAATAAATTCAGTAAACATACTTTCTTTTCACTCAAATCCTAATGAAAAAAAGGTGGGGGTGATATTGTCAATTAACTACCACAATCTACAATACCTCATCAGTGGGTGGTGTGATTTTGGTAGGCTATTACGGTAGCCTGAATGACCCTCCCACTAACCTTCCACTGTTCTTGAACGTGATCTTTAAAAATGACTTGTTGAGACACATCCAACTGGGTTTTTGTTCAACATCATCATAAAAAAAAAAAAAAAAGAAAGGAAGGAAGGAGGTGAGATATTGTCAATTAACTACCACAATTTACACTTATCGTTACCCCTACCGTAACCTACCAGGTACACTACTCATTAACCAATATTGAGACCACGATCTCCCATGCTAACAACTTACCATAAACTACAGGATTTAAGGTTCACATTTTATACTTAGAGTATAAGACGGTCACCTATTTTTTTTTTTTGGGGGGGGGATATTTTAAAGATTAAAAGGTCGCCTTGTACACCAACATATATGGTATGTAGAGCCATTTTTTGCTTTGTTTTTTCTTCAGATTTAAATTCACCATTTTTTTGTTTAAGAAGAAAAAAAAAAGTTTTCAATCAGTATTTTCTTCCACCTTAGCTCTTATGTGACCCTGCTAGTTTGCAAATATTTCTTTTTCTTCGAACATCAATTCAAATACCAGTCTAAGAGGTCAACAAAAAGTCAATTCTATAATAAGAGCTCTACTCTAACACTGACACAAAGTCTTCACACTCAGTCCTGTGATTTTTTTCATCAACTGTACTGTTCAAGCTGACAAAGAAGCACTAATTTGCTTGTAAAGACAAACAACTGAAAAAGACCAAAGATATCAACCCAAACATAAAAAGATAGTCAATATCAAGATATATTAGATTTTAGATAAGCACAAAAAAACTTTATCTGAAAGCTACAGGAAATAAAATCACTTTGTTTTTGAAAAGTTACTGCTTAAGCACAAGCTCATCCAAAATGATAAATGTGGCCTGGATCTACAAAAAGGATAGAAAGATATGAAGTGAAAGATGGCTTACTTTTTGTTGTGAAAGTGGTTCTTTTGAAGATGCTGCCTCTTTAGCATCATCTTTAGAATCAGAAGTTGTAGGGGCACTGATAGAGAGGACGTCTGTTAGAGTGGAACCCACAACCATCATCTTTGCTCCTTTCGTTACTTTTAACTCTTCCAATGTCATATCATCTTTAGCTAAACCTGACATACATAAAAAAAATAAATGACCAGAATAAGTTATACAAAAAAATTAATATATATGAGAGTAGCTCAAGACGTCTGGAGCCCAATGATAAATACAAAAAAAAAAATAATATACACAAATAATTTTCACCAATATTTATTTTTTTTCCTTGTCAATGCACTTTATTCAATGGTGAATATTCAACAAAGATCAGAATGCAGCTAAGAGCTACGTGTTAGGACTTCTTAAAGCAACTTTGTATGAGATCTGATCAAAAAGTATCAGGACTGGTGCTATAAAAAAAAAAGGAAAACTACACTACATACCAATTCAGCATTTAATCTCCTTCAATGTATCCCTCGTCTGAAATCATACTTTTTTTTTTTAATGTTTACCCAATTTAAGGCCCAAGGGCCACTCAAGATAAAAGATAACTGTGTGGAATTGTATTAATGCAAAAAAAAAGGGCAAAATAACAGGAAAGATAGCTAATTCTAGACTTGAAGAGGTGAAGATTTAATTAGGGAAGAAAATTTCAGAGTTCAGGCATTAGGAGTATAGAGTTGAAGTAGACTTTAGATGGAACCGGAAACCCAATCATAAACAGGAAACAAGGGATGAACCTCTACTCCAGTTCAAAAGACCAGGGAGGAGTATGAAACAGATGATAGGCAAACCTATCTACTCCTATTGCAAAAGGGGAAAAAATAATAATAATTACTGAATAAAATTCCAGATTTCAGGTGGAGACATCAGAGTTGAAGGAACCAGAAACCCAATCCTAAACAGGAATAAGGGATAAACCTCTACTCCTGTTCAAAAAATTAGGGAGGAGTATGAATTGAATGATAGGGGAGCCTATCATTCCTATGGGGGGGGAAGATAATTAGTGAAAAACAATTCAGACAGAGACATTATATCATCCAGCATCATTTCCTTTTTTAGGCTAGCAAGCAGCTGAAGATCTGTAACAAATTTGCCAACTGCCATTTTTATTTGGTACTATGTTTGCACTTATCCAACAGACATCAAAGGATAAAGTAGGTAATGTTTTAATATATTCCCTTACAAACTGTCTCCCTACTGATTTAGCAACCAAGTTTTATGAAGTTGGATTAATTTAATAATAAAAAGAAAAGGTGTGCCCACCCCCGGGGGGGCACAAAAACTTTGTCTTTTCGTTTTATCCTTTCTTTTTCATATTATAAATAATGACAGCAGCTTATTTTTTCAGAAAGACAAATTTTACAAATCAGATTTTTTTTTTAATTTTATTTAATAATTTCAATAAAGTGACCAAACGATAATGTAGCTTTTTGTTTCTCAATAACTTTTCAACAATTTATTTATGGGAATTAATCTAAAACTGGACTTTTTCTGTTTGCCTGCTTCAGTTAAAAACAGAAACAAACATCATTTGATGTATTTACTATTCTATTTAGTGATTTCAATGTGGCAACCCTGTGTGTGCACAGTGAAATTAGTTTTAGTCATGTAAGAATTCAAATGTGGTAATTTTTCTGTTCTTAAAAAAGATAACTAAAGTGCTGCATGAAGCAAAAAAAAATATCTTTGGAAGACGAGACATTTGTTTTACTACAACGTCTAGTTTGAAAGTTTCACTTAAATATTTACAGTAAACGCACAAAAACTTTTTCCAAAAATTCAAAACAATTAAAAAAATAAAAAATAAAATAAAATTATCTATTAGCTACTTTGTATAAAAAAAACAAAAAAACATTTTGGTTGTAAAGATCTATTAAAAAAGGCATATTTCACTTGTATGGAAAACTGGAAGCCTGGACTGAAAATTTTGTTTTTTTTTAAAAAAAAAAAAAAGGCCTAACATGGAAAAGCAACAGGCTGCTTTATGTAAAAAACTTCAACCTTAAAATATGGACCTTCTCCAAAAAAGAAACAAAGGCAAATGACTGTAGTTTCTAAAATTTGTGCACAAGCCAGGGTGGAACAATTTCTAAAAGACTTATGCTTTTCTGTAAATTTCGTCATCATAGTGTTGACCTTGTTAGGGTGGACACTATAAAAGACCATATTAAGTCTAAAAACCATTTGACAAAAAAAAAAAAAGACTTCTAACAACTATGAAACATATCGCAAAATACATTTGAATGCTTAAAGGTGGTCATCAGTGATGAAAGCCGTCAATCATCGCTGATTTCGGGGTTCTTATTCATCATATCAGCTCCGACAGCCACCCCCAACCTGTTATCTTATTCTACAGGTTGCCACCGTGTAAAGAATTGTGCTAGTGCTCAGGACAGAATTTATACTTTATGCTCTATAAAAAAAGAAAAAAAAAAAAAAATATAAAAACCAATGGAAGCGTCCAAAATTGCTTGCCCAATTAAAATATTAACGATACATTTAGCTGTTCACTAAAATGGAGGCGTCTTTTTTTTTTTTTTCCTTCCTCCTTCCAAACTGAATTATATAAATTGCTTGCTTCACACCAATTAAAAAAATGTAATCTTTTCCAAAACTAACTTATACTACTTAATTAAAAAGTTCTTATTATCGTATGGAATGGATTGATTTTACGTATTTACAGTTAAAAGATATCAATGGTACCGGGAGGGATGGATGGAATATTAAATTAAACTATATAGGGATGGACGAATTAATTCTAAATTATAACGTTTAAAATAAATTGATGATATTGTGGCGTATGGTATAAATGAATTTTATTAATGTTAATTTGTGGATTGATTTTAATTTATGTTACATTAAAATATAATAACATTATCGTATGAAAGGGATAAATTCTACATTATGAAAAGTTCCAGTACCTGAACAATATCGGATGTTAAGTTACACTATTTTCTGTTTCATGACAAAAAAAAAAAAAAAAAAAAAATTATCAAGAGTTTGTGAGCTAAATTTAACTAAAAATCTATAAAAAAACCTATTTATTACAAAGCAATATAAATCCAGATAATTTTATCAATACTGTGGGGTGATTTTGTCTCTAGCTTTTTAGGGATTATTTTCCATTGAATTATTCCCCCACTGCTCGGATCCTTTAAGCCATATCCATTTAGAAGCCGTCAGAGCTTCATTTGAAATTTTCTTAACGGCTTTGGCTTTAGCTGATCCCACTATCCCTATTTTCCTAAAAGCTTTGCATAATGACTGGCCTGCAAAGCCACGACGTCCTACTTCCACAGAGTCATATGTGACCTTCCAGGAATTTTGCTGACACTTTTCGATCAATTCTTGATATTTTGATCGTTTCCTTTCGTTTGCTAATGTCAGGTATTCTACCCAGGGGACTGTGAGCTCCCATATAATAGAGTGTTTGGTGGAGTTGGAATAAATAATCAAGTCTGGTCTTAGTGATGTTTCCGCTATATGTCTGGGGAACTTTAGTTGCGTCTTCAGGTCTGTCTCCAAATGCCAATCATTTGCTGACGATAAGTTTGTTTTGGGGATCGTTTGTTTTTCCTTCTTTGTTCCCTCTTTAACGAAGGGAATTAATATGAACTTCTTATTCAGTTTGTATTTAGAAGTTCTCACTGCTTCCCCGACTTCATGTGCTATTGCCTTTAGGACTTCGTCGTGGCGCCAACGGTATCTACCGTCACTCAGGGCTTTAGCGCAGGTACTTAGGATATGTTGCAGTGAAGTGCGTTTCCCACATAATTGGCAGTTTGGGGTATCCCTTTTGCCCCATAAATATAAGTTGGATGGGCTAGGTAGCACATCATATACTGATTTTACTAGGAAACTTATTTCACCAAAGTTTGACCGCCAGTAGTCTGACCAGCTGATCTTTTTCTGTTTGACACCCTGCCATCTTGTCCATGCTCCCTGTAAACTAAGTCCCACCATCTTGCAGTATCTCGTTTCTTCAATCCCTGCTCGAACTTCTTCTTGGATTAATTGACATTTTTCTTTCCCTTTGGCTCTGTTTATTTGGGGACAAGGAAAGTAACCGAGGCACGCTCTACCTTTAGCGATAGTGCCAAGAATTTCTTTATGCCGTAGTCTATCCTCTGCTATCTCCAACTCCTTTTCTGCACGCCATTTTCTCCCCGTTCGAGATTGAATACATGCTGCTACCACTTTTGGGTCTTTTGATTCTTTATATTGCAGCTGTTCTCTTACTCTTGTAACTTTAAACTCCTCAACAAGACTATTGAAAGGAAGCTGAAGAGCATTACTCCTACTGTAGAGTGCTGCTGTGCTCAGACACTTCGGAACTCCCAACCATCTTCTCAGGCGCCTAGTTATTAATTTCTCCAGTGATTCTACACTGGTCATTGGGAATTCGTACATCAAAAGTGGCCATAATATTCTGGGTAAAACGGCATGCTGGAATAACCAGGCTTTAAAATCGACCTGGTAAGCCTGATTTATCAATCTTATTGAGCAACTGTGTAAGATCTTTAGTTGTCTGTTCAATAGCCACAGTGTCTCTTAGACTGCCATCAAAAAACTTACCCAGGCTCTTAACAGGTTTTTCGTTTAGGGTTGGGATAGTTGCACCGGATATTTTAAAATGATATTTCTCTCTTATTTTTCCTTTTTTAATGACTAATGATCGGGACTTAGCTGGCTTAAAAGTCATTCGGGCACATGTAATGTTTTTCTCTAAGCCCTTCAAGAGCCATCTTCCTCCTGTTACGGATGTGCATGTTACGGTTAGATCGTCCATGTATGCTCTAATGGGGGCTGGCGAATTCCCTGATTTAGAGAGGGGCCTCTACACTCTACTTCAGATGCTTTGACCATCATATTCATAGCCAGCGAGAACAGTACTGTGGACAGCGTGCACCCCGTGATAATGCCTTTCTCCAGGGTGTGCCATTCCGATACTATTCTTGCCGATACTCTAAGCTGAAAGTTGTTATAATAGTCTGAAATTAGACCACTAATTGAAGAGGGAACGTGATGCCTTTTTAGAGCTTCTTCCACGAGCTTATGAGGCATGGAACCATACGCATTGGCGAGGTCTAACCACAGAACTGTCAGATCGCTTTTCTTTTCTCTCGCATCTCTTATCAGCTGCGTAAGTACGCCTGTGTGTTCCAGGCACCCTGGCATTCCTGGGAATTTAGTAATACGTCTTGATAATCCACCAAAAAAGAGGGATATTACTCTAAATTGGTCCAGTGTTGTGGACTTCTCTTCCTTGGGAATCCATACCCCTTCTGCGCGTCTCCATTGTTTGACTACCTTGCCTTTCCTCCAAATGATCCTTAATAATTTCCATAATTTCCGGAGAATCCCTCCACATCTTTTATAGACTGTGTACGGCACTCCGCTCGGCCTTGGTGCTGAAGCAGATCTTGATGCTCTCACCACTTCTTGGATTTCTTTCCAAGTGGGCATGCTTAAATCAAATGGACTTACTGGCGGTTTATGTATTATGAGACTATCGTTCTTATAAAGGTCTTGTTCCTTTAATGGATCTTTCATGGATTCCCTGAGGAAAGTATTAATTTCTTCTGCAGATGCTTCTAGTTGTCCGTTCCGATTCTCTCCAAATAACTTCTTAGCAAAACCGAATGGGTTAGACAAGAAGCTTGCTCGCTTTCTAGCTCTTTCCTTTCCCTTTCTTCTGTGCCACTCGGCTCGTCGGGTATTCTTCAGCTTCTCAGCTTCAGATCCTCACTGTTCGCTTTCCTGTAAGCTTTTTTAAGGGATCTTAGCTCATTTCTGAGCTCTTTAATTTTCTTTTCTCTATCTGTTTAGATTCGACATAGCCAAATCTTTCGGATCCCATGCTGGTTATTATTGTGGTCATATATTTTAACTGATTTTGGGCGCTTATTTGGCTGGCTAGTTGCAATAGTTCGCAAATGTCTTTATCGAAATTCTGCCAGGCCTCCTTGTCATCAGCAGGCAGCCATTTGATTCTTCTCCTTAACTCCATGCCTAGAGAAGATGAAACCTGAGCTTGGAGGGATTGGACTGTGGTGCGACTCCTGGTCCTTCCTCTCCTTCGTTTTACCAGGGCTTGTACCTGTACGTTGCTCAAGCCTCCCCTTCTCCAGGCATTTCATCCAGCCTTGGTGGATTCTTAGGCCTCGTTGGTTTTTGCACAACTTTCCACAAATGCATTCTTTCGAGTGTGGTTGGGCGTCTCTGTTCGTTGTCAAAGAATCAGTCCTAATAGAGATCTCTTCCACCACCCCCCCTCTCAGGATCTCTCAGGGGTATATTAAACTTTGAGTACTCGTAGCACATTGTAGGGTTGCTCCTGAAGAAGCTTGCATTTGGGGTAGCTAACCCTGCCAGCCCCTTTTACTCGTCTTTCCGAGATGTCAACTGTCTCTCCAGTTGTCACCAGTTCTCTTCCCCGGTCGCCAACTGGTCTGTACCCAGTCGTCACTGTCAAAAACAGACTACTTACTACTGTAACAACTCTGGTGAAAAGTAAAGCTATGAGAAATGGTTACATCCTTGATTTTTTCAAATGTGCATGATGTGACATACCCGTCAATAAAATTGACAAGATGAGACCATTTTTGTTAAGGAAAGTGATGCAATTCCTAGTGCTAAATGTATTAGGCAACTATATCTACCAAATTTGTTTGATGAATGAAGTGTGCCAATGAAAGCATAAGTATCATAGCAGATGAAACACTTGACCAACGTGACCACAACATTTTAAATATGACTGCAAACATTTGAGGGGAGCCATTTCTTATCAATGCTGTCACCACGAAAGAATGCAATCATCAAATTAAGTCAGATTTGCATTTGATGATATTACTGCACTTGTAACTGATTCAACAGCATATCGTAAAAAGGTGTATAGGAATATTCTATCCAATATATTTGTAAACAGTAATGATGTCTTGTGTTTAGCACACATTTTACATCTTGATGAGTTATCCTCACACTGGCAAGAATTTGATAATGTTGCTCAGCTCAATACTTTCATTAAGTCAGTTTTTTTTCAAAGAACCTGTATGAAAACAGCAATATTTGAAATGACTTGAAGCCTACTTGCCTAAGCAACTAGTGAAACTCCGTCTCTTCTAGTAGCAATCCAATGGAATTCACTTCATATATTCAATTTTATGAAGGAACCTACCAACAAGAAAAAGCCACGGCTTGGCAATAGACTAAAGTTTGGAATTAGTAGATGATAGTAAACAGCACCATGCATCATACTAAAATTTACATCTCAATCTGTAATTCATCATGAGAACTGCACTCATTTAATAAAAGCCTTGACAACCTTAGAGGAAACCAAGTTACCACTTGCATATATTGTGTAATGCAAGATTTAAAGCATTACCTTGATAGTAGTATGTTGAAAACAACATTTTCTCTAAAAACTAACCACCTTCTGTTTGAACTAGAAAGCATATAGAGGAATAAGGTTACATCAAATTTGCAGGATGTATTCAGTACAGTACTTTCAAAGTAGAACAAATGCTTGGATCCAGTATATGAGTTTTACAAATCAGCTTATTAGCCATGACATTGGCAGTTTTGCAGCCATCAAAGATTTGCAAGATCCATCAACTGAACTCTTTAAAGAATTTCAAATTTATATAAACTACAAAGATGACCTACCAAATCCTTTCAGCATCTTGGAGTGCCAATAAAAGCAGATTTTCCATTCTGTCACCAATTGTTACTAAAGTTATTTAATTCTTTTAGTAGTCTGCAGTGTTACTTTTCTGTAGATTTTGCCACTTTCACTTAATTCTTATTTAGGATTGTAGCATTCTTTGCAAGGATTGTCCAGGAAACTCATCAAATTAATCAAACTTGACAAGTTTCCGAGACAGAACTATGAGGTATGAAACCCTGTCAAGCTGCAGCAACTTATCCAATGGGGGGATATTCCAGTGAGTAAAATTTTTCATTTTCCTTTTTTTTTTTTCTTGTTTTAATAACATTCCTATATTGTTACACTTTCTTATTAAGGATTGGAATAAAGCAAATACAGAATTCTATACTGAAAACAGAATTCCCTTAAACCTGAAGCAGAATTAATGAAAATTTGAAACAGAAAATTGGTCCCTCTACAGCTGCCTCATCACATTCTCTTAAATTGAAGAAATGTCTTGAAATCTTGTTCTTTCAAGTGAGATTTGATTTTTTTGAAGAGGAAAAGTGACAACAAGCAAGATCTATGGACTATGATGGTCGCTGGACCTGGGGACTGTTGTCAAAAACTCCTACACAAGCTATGGTCACCAATGGAACCTCTGTGATCTTGTGAGACCACAATCTACAGACTTTCCTTGCTATAAACAGTGGAAGTGAACAAGTATGTTATAACTTAATGTGTATGCATGACAGAATTTAAAGTCAATATATGCCAAGCAGCTTCACTTTGCCTACTTTATCACCATTACCATAGCAACAGTCCTGATGATTTTTGATCAGACCTTGTATATACAGCTTTCTCTTAATCAATGACAAATGTTCATGTAGATTACAGAATAAGCAGACATTATTCAAATTTATCTTTACTGCAAAATATATTTGAAAGGTAAAAAAAGGAGTGGGGAAAAATAATAAAACAAAGCCCAAATTTGGAGTTGACTGTGACATCAGAAAATATATAATCATTGAAGTACCAAAAACTGAAAAAAAGAGAGAGAACATGAAGAATATGGAGGGGGTAATATTAATAGCAGCAAAACAGCAAAAGCACAAGTCAAATACATTTACAATTTGGAAGCTAAGAAAACTGAATGCAAATAAAAAGTGGGAATTCTTGAAATCAAGCTGTGTTAAGGAAGGCCATTGCTTTCTGTCAGTTTTTGCAACCAGTTGACTTTTGTTAAAAACAAGTACCTAAAATGCCTACAATTAAAATGTTAGATTTTGGGTAAGCAACATTGAGGAGCAATAGGATACTATGAAAATAGTAAGAGCTATTTCATTAGCCCAACATTGTGCTCTAAACGACTATAGTCCACTCACATTGTCAATAAAACAGCAACAAAGTACTTTTTTCATTTTGTTACATGGGATATTTACCTACTGTCATATGGAAGACAGAATTCAGTTTTTTAAATCATTAAAAATATCCAAAGAAAGCCAACATGTAACAAAAAACAATAAATTAACAACCTGATTTCGCCTACTTACTAATGACGGATTACATTGTCATAGTAACATAAGGCATGTCTGCTTATTGACATCAAACAATGGGATATCTCATTACGAAGGGGGACCAATAAATATATAAAGTTACAATGTGTTTTACATAATAGAAGCAATTCTGATATTCATTGCTACAAATATCCACTACATCAGATTCTGTTGATGTTAGCCGCTGGGCATATTTGCATCTGATTGGTTTCTCAAAGCAGAACCCACATACATATCAGAGTTAATTGGCCAGTAATAGTGAATACGTCTTCACCAACCTGTTGTCAGCCATTATTCTGTCCTAATTTTACCAAGTCTAAAGATTTTTATAAATGAAAAAGTATTTAATAAAAAAGGTGAAATTAATTCCTGTAGACCCCAGTTATGTCTGAGGTGACATTTTCTGGCACAAGTGTCAGGTCACTTAAACAGCACTTGTCACTTTGCAATGTTGGCTATTAATGACAATGTGCTACATTTCAACAGCATTTGTGTTCTTGCCCATTACAGGACAGCACAGTGCTGAATTTATCTAAACAAATAATCTAATGTCAAAACAAAAGTGTCCGTACGAGACAGGCTAACACATCTAAGTGACACCAGTAGATTTGATTTATAGTTTCCTGTTTAACAGTTAAAGTTTGGGAAGTACAAAGTTATTTTTTCCTTAAAGTTTATCTAGAATAAGACGACCAAAACAACAAGAGTTAATACCATTTGAGGCCGACCGCTCAACTGACTTGCCTTATTAAGGATTGCTCATTGCAATGTGAAGGCGATAAAAATAAGCAAGAGAAAAGGGTAGCTCACCTTTAAACATTATTTTCTGCATTGAAGCTGGAACACCTGAATTAAAAATAAAATATGGCCTGATGAAAAAAAAAAAAAAAAAAAAAAAATGGAAGGAATGAAAGAACACAAATGAGATATTCCCAAGAACTTTGCCTCTGCCATAAGGACAAAGATGATAGTACAATAGAAAAATTAATCCTTGGTTATACAGTCTTTTTATATTTACTACCAATTATTGTTAGAAGTTTTACTTATATTCCTTCTTTATATATCTGATGAGATTTTTAACAAGGATCAAGAATACAAGACTAAAAACCAGCAAATTGTGGTCATTGTTTCAGATTTCTAAAAACAATCCTGACATACCTCTATTCAAGGCGCATATGGTTTGCGTAAGCTTTTAGGCAATTCATTCACTGATAACAGACATTGCACTTTTGGATATAAAGCAAAGATTTTGATTACAAATAACAAAACATCATTAATAAAGCAATTTATTTTATTAGAAAACAGAAGTTCTCTATTTTGTAACATATTGCTTTCCTATCACAGTTGGGAGTTTACTTTCATCAATTATAATTACCTTCAATGATTTCGGAGCCAGTTTAGTGGCTGAAGTAATGGTATATTTTCTCTCTGGCACCACAAGTCAGTGTTCACTCCCCATTAAATGTCAGAACTCCAAGAAGTGAATGATGTGCAGTTTTAAAATAAATATTTTCAAATTATTTTTTTAATACACACAAATTATAACACTGACATATATTTCTCTCTCTAGAGGTATGAAAATGACAGTGAAAATGCAGTGTTGATGCCTATGTCCACACTGTTTATACCTATAATTGCTCTATCTCTGACACAAAGCAATCTTCACATATAAATACAGCAAATTTTAATATATTCAAACTTTTTTGCAATACACAACATGTTGCAATCATCACAGTATTTAGTATTGCTGAAGTTATTGCTTCCTCTGCCCATTCAAAACTCCCTCTATAGTGTTTATATTATGTGTATTATATTTTATCAGAATTATATATATATATATATATATATATATATATATATATATATATATATATATATATATATATATGAAAACTTTAAAAGATATGCAAAAAATAATATTACATTTTTACTAAATAAGTCTTTGTTATTTTAATCACTAAACTGTTTTTAAAATAGTGAGAATATTTTTTATGTTAAATAATAAAACTTAATGAAATGAAAATTTATTGTACTAAGTTACATACTCTAGTAAAACCAACTGTACTTGTACCCCTTGATCTGTTTGCACTTCTCCCTGGAAATTTGGTTTAGGTCAGTTCATGTATGGCTATTTTAGAGGGTGTGACAGGCAGACAAAAGTCACAGAATTTTATATAAATAAAAAAAAAAACAAATTTGGAATTTCCTGTAGGTTACCTGGATCAACATACATCTGATGAAGGTCAGAGGGCACAGCAGCCAAAACACTATGATAACAAAGATGAGAACAAGTCCATATGCAAATAGTGTAAATAAGAGTTTGCCGATAAATATAAGACTCTTGCATCCACCAAAGCTTTAAAGCGAAGATTAGTAAGCTAGTCTCAACTCATTGCTAGATAACTCAAAGTGCTCCGTAAAAAGTGGCCTTGTGCCAATGTTTCTTTATCCCAAAATATCAACAGTGGCTAACATAATAAAAATGCAAATTTAAGGTATACTATATTTATGAGAAATATTGGATTCAAGCATGAAACAGATTGTTGCCATTCAGTGTTGACCTCAGTGCCAACTTTTATATTTACATACACCATATATTTGTGTATGGGTTTGAAAGACCAATATTAAGTAAAGACAAGATTTCACATGGAAGTTTTGACTGAAAGCCAAGGCAGGAGTACTTAAATCAAAATCACTTTGTATCAAAACCTGTTACAACAGGACAACTAACAAAAAAGTGAACTTACCAATGATTTTCTCAATGCCTGCTTTTACATCACCTATAGTTTTATCAAGGTCAAATTCCACATCATATTTTTGTTTATTGAATATCACTTTAAATGCCACAGTCTCCTTGGACGTGCCAGCTGCTGATGCTTCATTTGTACTGAATGAAGCCTCTAAAAAAAAAAAAAAAAAAAAATCATCATTATTATTAAAAACTGCTAAAAATCCTCAGGGTGTAAAAGCTGAACATATTCCAATACAATATCATTCAAGTGGGATAGCTGCTCTCTGAAACAAGTAGCAGAGGGAGCTTTGAAAGGCAAAAGCAATTATTAAGGAAAATTTCTTAATATAAATAAAAACACACACAATTATATATATATATATATATATATATGAGAATTAAATTGTGAGACAGTATGCAAATGGAAGAGAATAAGAGTAGTCTCAAATTTGGTATTGAAAGAAAGCAAAGAAAAATAAGTGCCCAAAATGTGAAAATCAACACATTGAGAAATGAAATGATCTCACCTGAACCCTCCATTTGGTTGGAATCCTTCTCCACTATTTCACATTCAGCACATGCAGCAGAACTGTTACAATCGTTCTTGGAACTCCAATCACCCAATTCGGTATTTGCTGCAACAACAAACAGCCAATTTGTCTTTTATTTAGTTTTCTCAATTACAGCAAACAACTCAACATTCTTTTAAATTAGCTATCAAAATTCTATGATATTTTCTTATGAACATCCTTGTTAAATCTGGTTATGAACTTCTAGGAACAAAAGTAATTCTAGTACTTACCAAAGACATTTAACAATTATTTGAATTTCATAATGAATCAATTAATCTTTGGCTACGCTTTGCCTCATCTTATCATTGCTTTTTATGAAAACATTCAAAGATGAATACCATTTCCAACCATTTAAAAAAGTGATAAAATGTAAGAACAAAGTAATCAGTCTGAATTTCTGTGACAAAGACTTCCTTAATAGACCTAGTAGAGAAATAAATATGATACAAGATCACAAGTGACAGCAGGTCTTCAGTAACAAAAAAGATAAGCTTCATTGAGTAGACAAGCAGCAGCAGGCAGATTAGGTTTAAGACTAAGTTCTCCATAGAGAAGTATCCCAGGAAATAATAGACTAGTGGATTAAAATGTTCATTTGTGAATTTGCTGACAATCCTGATAATCTAATTCTAAGTTCAACTCCTGGGCAGTATACCTGGACAGGGTAAGCAATAGCTGAGCACAACTAAAATAAGAATTATATGTAGCATCCCTAGACATCTAACTCTATATATTAAATAAAAGGTTCAGTTTGAAATTCTCTGTAGGTCACTGATAAAGGCTGGAGAGGAACAATGGCCAAAATGTGATAAATGTGGAAAATAGTTAACCTTTACTACACTGCAGGTGACAATAGTCACCATGGATTTTTCTCCTTTTGCTACTCTAGCGGCTACTATCATCCATGCCTGACTAATTTTATGGAAGCTACTGGTAACCATCGATATACCTGATAGCCTTTCTGAAGGTGAATTATTTTGTCTATAAATAATAAAGTAATAACTTTATTCATCAATGAGACAAATAAATACGAGTCAGGTGAAAAAAAAGCAAACAAATGCTTGTGTCTTCTTATATGTAAACACGTCACTTTTTTGACAAAGTAAAAGCTTTCTTTGCAATTTTGCTTCTTATTGCACTCCCAGAACTCCACAACGAGTAAAAAGTTAAATTTATGGATTTTTTTTTAAATGTATTTGTTTTTTTTATTTTACATTTCAATTTTTTGGTTTTCAACGTCAAAACGGGCATGCAAAACATAATGCATTACATAAAAATATTACTCCCTCATTCTCTTATTAGTGTACAAAAATTAACATCTATGTGCACAATACATAGAAAGTTATAACAAGTAGGTGTTCATGATTTTGCACTTACAAAAACAAAAACGAAAAAAAGAAGTGGCGGGGGAACAATTCTAGAAAGAAATTAGTGTGGTAAAGGTTAATAGTGTAAACAAGAATAAACTAGTTTGCCACAAGTCATTGGGTATACCAGGAATTTGTTTCAGGGACAGCACCTTAACCAATGGAAATCTATGGCTAGACAGAATACAAATCTCGTCCAACAGCCTCTTCCCCATTTTGTTATACGATATCATTATTTTACTACCAAGTTAGTAATTATTCTTACTTTTAATTTTGGTAGGTATTTCCTCGAATTTAAACTGTTTTGGTAAAATATCCTATTTGCCAAGATGAATAAGAGTTGCTTTGCATCAATTAATGATGACACTCAAAAATGATTTTAATCAACCTTGGAAGAAGATAAAAATACCTAAAGTTAAGGTGAATTCTCCAAACAGTCAGTTATTTTTTTTTTAAAGCATTTCACCCCAAGCAAGGCGGGAAGCCACTAGGATGCAAGGGGTTACAGAAAGTTTAGAGCAAGATCAGATAGGAGTGATAGAAGAAAGGATGAGGGTAGTGGATAGATCAAGGCAATTGGAGATGTCGATTGACATTACACTTGAGTAGCTGGAGATTATAGCTCACAGGGAAACAGGAATAGGGAAGGGAGTTCCACAGGCGAGAGGTGCGAGACATGAAGCTATTAGAGTAGGAGAGACGGCTACATTTTCGACAGTGAAGGGGTGAGAGCGGGATGCCAGCCTCGTAAGGCGCTGGAACTCATGACTCAGTTATGTGCCATGTGTGATACATGCTTAGGCAAACATGTATCTTTCAATACATGACTGACAAGGCAGACCTTTTCCCATACTAGGCTGCCATTTCTTTCTGCGGTAGACCAGTTGCCATCAAAGGCTATAGAACCCAGTCTGTCCTCCTATTTACCCATAGCTAGAGTAGGAGAAGAGGATTCATACCTTTCCCAAGGGTATTAGCACATAAGTGAATGTAATGGATTTGACGGGAATTCAAACTCAGCTCTCCAATTCAAGCCGCTATCCATTACTCCACCGTGCCTTCTCCAAACATCCACTCCAATTTTGAAATAAATTTTCTCTCTCCTCACCATGTATGGTAATAAATAATGGACTCTCCCATCATTTTTAACATGTAGGTCAGCTTTTAGAGGCAAACAGATGATTCACACGTGTGATTTGGTTATAGAGGTGAAGGCTTGTGAAGAACCAAATACAGAGAAGTGGTGTACATAATGTGCCAAAAGATTTTCAATCATTCTTTCTCAGGTTTTGAATTCAGATTTTTATTCTCCTAGACTGGTTGCCAACCAAGGCTATAGAGCCCAGTCTGTCCTGCTATTTGCCCATAGCTGGGGGGAATAAAAGATGGATTCATACTTTTTCCCCCAAGAGTATTTGCATGTAAATGAATGTAATGAACTGGAATTCAAATTCAGCTCTCCAATTTCTCATTCCAAGCTGTCATCTATTAATATACAATAATACATATAGTTTCATATCAAATACATTCAAAGTCTTACAATTCAGCCCAATAAAGAGTATAAAGGCCAGTGTAATCAGACACCAACTATTTTTCTATTAAAGTTTGATATCATTCATTCAATATAAAAAGTGCAAAGAAATAATATAGTTGAATAATAAAGATCGAAATGAACCAATAGAATTTCAACATTAGTCATAGACTCATGTAACTGTTTTAATAATAAATGTATATATGAAAAAAAAATTAAGTGTGTGCATGTGTTAAATGATTACATATCCCAAATCTATTCTGTAATGTTTGCCTTTCTTCTGGACCTTTCTATGCACTGATTGAGAGCTGAAAATTGCTAAAACAAATTCACTAACCAATCATTTTCCCTTCCTGATGAAATCGTTAGTGTAGAAAATAACTAAAAAGGTCAGAGTAAATTACGTTAAAGTCAACAATAAGAATCCATAGGAATAAGAAAACAAAAAAATAAATAAATAAATAATTTTGTTGATTTATAGCAAATGTTTGCAGGCAGTTGCTATTAAAATACAACCATAATTGTTTCCCCTCCTATTCTGCCTATGTGTATTCTGTGGACAGAATTTGTCAAGTCATTGCATGTCATAATTAGTGAATGAAAGTTCTGATTGGTTATATAAAGAACTGATTTATAAAACAGTGCATACAATTCTTGATCCATAAATTTACTAACCTGAAAATATGAGAGAGTATTTTCAATATCTCGCTGCTAACTAAAGGAAGAAAACAATGATACTCCTAGACTAAAATACAAAGAAAGAATGAAAGAAATGACTATTTTCATGGTAAGTGTACAAAAATCTAATACACTTTACAAGCAAGAAGCCTTGGCCAGTTGGTAAATTTCTGCCTGAGCCTCAAGAAGGATTTCTCATAAAACCAAAAACGACCTACATGTAATAACTTATTTTACTTCTTGTCTTAATTTAAATATCACACTTCTATTTAAAACATGATGGCTTCATAGGAAATTATATAGCAATAATCATTTCACATGCTTTTAATAAAAAGCTTTTTTTTTCTACCAGTGAAATGATGAGTGACTTTATTAAGTAATTATGTAAAAATTATATTAAAATTGACAAGTCTTTAAAAACGTGGTTAACAAATTCCAGAAAGCTCAATTTCCTATCACAAGACAATATTTAAAGCCAAACTTGTCAAAGTAAAAGTAATAAGCCTAATAAAGTTAGCTAAAGATTGAAAAGCAGAAAATCAGTATTGTAAGAAGCTCAAAACTCTTAGATGTTTAGTTGCTTTGATTATATTTCAGGAAAGAAATTGGTAGTTCATATCTACTAAGTTTTTAAAGACATCATTTAAGAAATTGAATCAACACTTCATGAACATTGATGCTGTAATCCCTATTTTTTCATGTGTTAACCTAGTTTCTATAGAAAATTAAAACAATCACTTTTTAAACAGTGAGAAGCAGAACTGGAACCTAACTAGCTTTACACAAACACAAAATTTACTAAAAAGTCAATAAATTTGACCTAAGCCGTTTGTAAAATAAGGTTTTACAAAAAATTTGGTTCATTTGATATCTAATCCTAAAATTCTAAGTGATTTAAGAAAATGCACAGATAAGTAAAAAAAATTGTCTGCAATTCACAATCTGAAATAAACTCATGCATGAGATTTATAAGAGAAATTTCATAAATTTTAATCATTGCATTCCTTAATTAAAAATATAAGCTGCATTGCATTTTTGATTAGCAAATAATGTAACAGTTTAAATATTATTGAAAGTTAAAAGGCCTTTGGATATTTGCAGCAGTAGAGGACAATGGTTCAAAAAGCAAGAGACAAAAACGCTGTCAGATTGCTAGAGATCATTTGCATGACTTTTCCTAGTGGATGAAGAAGTTATACATACTAACTAATCTCACCAAAAAGATAAATGTAAGTAGTGAAAACTCGTGATTTTTGAAGAAAAAATTCCTACAGTAAAATCTTTATCCTTCAGAAAAATCAACAACTGTTCAAAAAAGAAAAAAAAATTACAAGGTAACCAATATGGTTTGACAAGAAATAGGCACTTCTGACATCTCTTTTCTTGAAGTAGCAAGTATATACCAACAAATCCAAGCCAATCAACCAACAAACAAAAGAAATTGAAATGCCTTAATGGAAATTCTACTTTTTGAAACAAAGAACATT